AGAGAATTATTTTAATTCCAGGGGATCACTTTATGGTCTACCATAGTACTTCTAACCAAGAAGGCAATTATAATTATTCTTACAGTACGTACAATAGGAAAGTTGTTGGTATGAATGAACAAGAGCATTCCTATGATTTTTTGATTGCATTTCCTCGTCTCATCTCAATCTGATTTCTCCATTTTTTGAATGCCATTCTAATTCACCTCATTCGTTTGGTGAAGGCATTTCTATATTCCTTCAATACAAGTACCTCTTATTGTCTTTTAATTCAGTATTTAAAACCAACTCTCGTTTTCGTGCATTTGCATCAAATCATTTCAGTTGCTCAGCGACCACAGAAGAACTCCTTTCAAAAAAAATTAACATCAAACAACTTCCGATATCATTGAATCCATACCTAAACGCGTCTGCCGAGACTTCGATATCAAAAGAGAGCTATCATCTACAAAAATATTGGAAAGGGGTTGATTTTGGAAAATAAGAGTGTTGGATAACATTGAAATCAACAAATAAGCCTCTAGTCCCCCCATCTGTACTACACGATGGCGGGCAACAATCGTATGTCGACATACTCGATGACATCTTCTGCCACAGGAGTCGCTCGAAACTTTCATGCTGCGGGTCAACAATCATCGCAAGTATCCACAACCACACTTTTGAACGCCGTTCACCACATTTACACATCCGGCCAACCATATCGACTGGATGCTAGCAGTAGTTTGGTGGTGAATACATGGCTATCGGCTTCACAGCTTGATCGTGAGGGAAGAACTGGAGGCACAATAGATTCAGCTTTGGCTGCACGAGCTTGGGAACATGCTAGAAGACGTGCGGAAGATGGTTGTATTGTTTTAGGGTATGGCATTTATTTAAACTTATTGAAATTCAAAGCTAATAAGATCGCAGTTCCCTTCATGAAGCCACTCCTTCCATTTTGGTTCCTTTTCTTAGCACCCTTCCTCTTTCCATTCCCGATTCATTGTATACCGCCCTTACCGTATTACGACCCTTTATCCACTGCGTTTCTCCTCAAAACCCATCTACACCTCGGCAATCTGCTCTTGGTGTGACCTTGACTTTATCACTCGGCGGAAACCTTACGGCTGCGTCAATAGCATTATCAGAGGGTGGGATTGACACCAGTAAGGGGCTCTTAAACCTCCCAGCTGAGCCAGGATATCGAGCTTTTGACGTATTTTACTACCTTCTTACATCTGCCTCAACACCCGCCGAACGAGAATTCTTGAGCTTGAAACAGGCTTCTAGTTACGCGCTTTTGGAAAAATCTGGCACATATGACCCTCCATCGTACCTTCCTACCGCGGACGATGCAGCAGCCGCAGATGATTTCAGAGTATCTTTGAAGGCTATCGGTATCAAGGGCGCAGCACACCGAGATCTCATATCAATTTTAGCAGGTTTATTGAAGCTAGGGGATACTTTGAGCTTCATCCTCGATGGAGACGCGTTGGAGGAGATTTGCGAAGATGTAGGAGGTCTGCTTGGGTTAGAACCCGAAGTTCTTGTCAAGCAGTGCACGACACAGGAGCGAGAAACTCTGATCGGTGGTCTCTATGAAGCCCTTGTAGATTGGGTGATTTCGAAGGCCAACGAAGCCATTGCTAGCGAGATGGTCAGAATCAAGGACGTCGATTCTTCGAGTGAGAGTGGACCAGGAGCTCGAACCCCAAATACCGAGGACGATAGCGGTGACACTGTTTGTATAACTGTTCTTGAGATCCCGCACCCTAACCTTGGTAAAGCGGCCGCAATGCGAGGTGTCTTTGACGATACTCAAGGTATCAATGCCGAAATGAAAGAAGATGGGGTTGATGTGGTTACTGCTGGCTCAACTGTCATCCGAGAGATGCAAAATGCAGTAGCTGAAGCTGCCCCAGATCTTGGTATCATGACTGGACCTGCCGGACGAGACCGTGAACACGAGCTTGAGAAACGTGAGATCGTCTTAGAAAAGGTGGCTCACGAGGGAGAAGAAGATGGTTTCCTCAAGAAGCTTCTCCTCCCAATTGAAGGGCAAGGCATCAATTTAGGCCGCAATGGTCGTATTGATCTACCGTCTGTTCTTGGTAGCAGTCGTGTTTGGTATCACTTATCGATGCATCCCACCGATGACTTACCTGCAACTCTAGCTTCACTTGCTTCAACAACTTCGGCTTGGTCCGCAGGCGCCGTGTCGCGACAACTCCGCGCATGGCGTCTTCCGGAATGGGCCAATCGACGAAACAAAAACTTAGATTTTACAGCCGATTTCGATTTCGAAGAATTTGTTCAACGATACGCTCCTCTTGGTTGCAAGGATGGCCGTGACGGCATTGAAAGCTGGACCATGGAACGCGGTTGGAGCAACGGTGAAGTTGTCATTGGCAAGGAGAGGATATGGATTCGTGAGAGTGCTTGGTGGGAGGCTGAAACCATGCTTGACCTGAAGCCGGCCGAGGGGGAATTTCAAAGCATGGGCGGCCCGGGAGGTATGGCAGGCATGCTAGAAGCCCACGACATGAATACTGGATACTCCCCTAACGCCCCCAACGGAAGCGGTTTCTTTGCCGCTCCTAACAACGATTTGACACACGTTGGAAGTCATGATCACCTCATCAATCGTCAGAGTCAAGCAAATGTAGCCCGAAGTGCTCTTGGAGCGCCCACTATCGCACCATCGAAAAACATCGGCGGCGGTGGCGACTATGGACTTGGATACAAAGGAGACGATATGAAGGGGCAGGTTTATTACACAGACGAGAATGGCGAATTCGTCAATGACCCCGAAGCTGGTACCCCGAAAGCTATCATTAATGAGAAAGCAACCAACCAGCGTCGGATTTGGGTCGCTGTTACCTGGGCTCTTACGTGGTGGGTACCATCGTTTCTTCTTCGATTTGTTGGTCGTATGAAACGTCCAGATGTGCGCATGGCCTGGAGAGAAAAGCTGGTCTTGGTTTTCTTTATCCTCTTCCTCAACTGCTTGGTTTTATTCTGGATTATTGAATTCGGTAAACTCCTCTGTCCAAATTCCGACAAGGCATGGAACGCAAGCGAAATCGCTACTCACCGAGGAAATAATGATTTCTGGGTCAGCATTCACGGAAAAGTATACGATCTTTCCAAGTTTTGGAAGTTGCAGCACAGCGATACTACTGTCACAACCACCTCCGATGTTATGCAACCTTTCGCTGGTCTGAATCTGGACGGCTATTTTCCACCACCATTGACCGTCGCATGCCCTGGCCTTATCACGGATTACACCAAGGTACTATTAGACAACACTACACTTGAATATACAAGTGGAATCCATACGTCTGGAAATCTTTCAGCGTATACGACCAGCAAACTCTTTAACTGGGATTGGTATGCGGATGTATACACACCTGCCATCAAAGAATACTACCATGGTGATCTAGTAGTGAAGAAGAGTACGCTTGAGAGCGAGGGTCAAGACGATGGGCATTATTGGGTCATCCTTAAGGGGAAGATATACGATTTCACCAACTATTACTACACAACAACTTTATTTTCTACTGATACCACCTGGCAGTTCATGGACGATACAATTTATCAAATGGTGGTCGCAAATCCAGGTTTAGATATCACGAGCAAATGGGATGACAACTACAAAAATGCTAACGCATCTTACCAAGTGGATATCCTCAACAATTTGAATTGCATGAACAATTTATTTTCCGCAGGTATTCCTGACTTCCGAGATTCTTTCAAATGTCAGATCAACAATTACATCCTTCTCGCCTTTACGATCCTGTTGTGTAGTGTCATTGTCATTAAGTTCTTATCTGCACTTCAATTTGGTTCGAAGCGTCGTCCGACTCCTCAAGACAAGTTTGTTATTTGCCAAGTTCCAGCATATACCGAAGGCGAAGATTCATTACGTAAAGCTTTGGATTCTTTGACAGCTTTACAGTACGATAATAAACGAAAGCTTATTTGTGTCATTTGTGATGGTATGGTGGTAGGAGGTGGTAATGATCGACCAACACCAAAGATCGTCCTCGATATTCTTGGAGTGGACCCAAAGATGGATCCTCCTGCCTTGCCATTCAAGTCTGTCGGAGACAGCAACGAGCAACTTAACTATGGTAAGATCTACTCGGGTTTATATGAATTCGAAGGAAATGTGGTCCCATACATCGTAGTCGTTAAGGTTGGCAAGGAATCTGAACAATCGAAATCAAAGCCTGGTAATCGCGGAAAACGAGACTCTCAGATCCTCCTCATGAGCTTCCTCAATCGTGTCCACCACAGGTCACCAATGAGCCCATTGGAGTTGGAAATGTTCCACCAAATTAACAACATTATTGGCGTGGATCCAGAGCTTTACGAATACATACTTATGATCGATGCCGATACCAGTGTCAGGGAAGATTCCTTGAATCGCCTCGTGGCTGCTTGTTCTAATGATGGTAAAATTGCTGGTATCTGTGGTGAAACCACTCTCGAAAACGAAGAACAATCTTGGTGGACTATGATTCAAGTTTACGAATATTTCATTTCTCATCATCTGGCAAAAGCTTTCGAATCTCTATTCGGCAGTGTTACTTGTTTACCTGGTTGGTAAGTTAATCTTTGTCAAATTCCTTTTTAATACAGCGTACTAATGCCATTTCTACAGTTTCACCATGTATCGTCTACGTACTGCTGATAAGGGCAAACCGTTAATTATCTCCGATGCTATTATCAACGAGTATAGTGAGTGTGTTGTTGATACTTTGCACAAGAAGAATCTTTTATCTCTTGGAGAGGATCGATTCTTGACTACATTGATGACCAAGCACTTCCCATACATGAAGTATAAATTCATTCCAGATGCATTCGCTAGCACCGCCGCACCCGAAACATGGAGTATTCTTCTTTCCCAGAGAAGACGTTGGATTAATTCTACCATTCACAATCTTGCTGAGTTGGTCTGGCTCCCGGAATTGTGTGGGTTTTGTTGTTTCAGTATGAGATTTGTCGTCTTCATCGATCTGTTTGGCACAATTATCCTTCCTTCAACAACAGTCTACCTTGGATATCTGATCTACAAAGTCGCAACACATCAGGGTCAATTCCCTCTCATTTCCATTTGTATGATTGCTGGTACATATGGTCTTCAAGCTTTGATATTTATTCTCAAACGTCAATGGCAGCACATTGGTTGGATGATTATTTATCTCCTTGCTTTCCCAATTTACTCGTTTGTTCTCCCAATCTACTCATTCTGGAACCAAGACAACTTCTCTTGGGGTAACACACGTATTGTTCTTGGAGAAAAGGGTTCCGCAAAGGTTGTAGCCGTGGAGGATGATGGATTCGACCCACGAAGCATTCCTCTTCAAAGATGGGATGATTACGCGTTACATAACAACCTCCCAGGACGTCGTGGAGTACCAGTTGAAAAGGCATATGACACATACGACGATCAATACGAAATGGATGATATGAAATCCATGTACTCATCCGTCAAACCCGCATCCACCATCCTAACCGGTTTTCCTGGTCGCGGTCCATACATGCCTCCTCAGTCCACTTACTCCGCAAACCAATACGCCGATCATCCTCTTCGCAATGCATCCGCCATGTCCCATCGCCAACAAGATGGTTCCGGTTCTCCTTACCAAGATTACCCTGCCAACAATCGTCCCTCGATGCAAATGATGTCTTCAGAGAATCTTCTTGGTGGTCCAGCACGTCATCAATCTCGCTCATCGCTCGGTTTTACAAGCGGTGCTCGTTCGCCTTTAGTGGGAGCTGCCATCGAAAGACCCGCTAGTGGATTTGATTTCCAAAGGGGCACTGCTGGACCAGATGATATGCAAATTGTAGAGGCTATCCAAAGTTGTTTGAGAGAGGTAGATTTGGATAATGTTACGAAGAAACAGGTTAGGGCCTTGGTGGAGCAGAGGTTACAGACGGAGTTGGTGGGGGAAAGAAGGACGTTTTTGGATAGGAGTATCGATAGTGAGTTGGCTGCTATGTAAGGTGGGGATGATTGGGAGTTGCTCGGGGTTAGGAATAGGGTTTGGAGATGGGAGACGGAGGGTTGAATTAAATTAGGGAGGAAAGGGAAGGAAAGGAAATGAAAGGAAAGGAAAGGGACGAAGAGGATCTTTAGCATTTTTTGCGCGCATGTGAGCGATGAAGTGGGGGACTGGAGAATTGAAATTAATCTCGATTGTTTATGGCGTTCTCTCTTTGCATTGGGTGGTTGAAATTGATGGATGGATGGGTTCATCTGGATTTTTCATACCTCTTTTTTTCTGTTTCTGTTTCTCTCAAAGGCGGTAGGTAGGACGTAGGTAAATTATTACCTAGTAGAAAATAAACGTATCGGTTAACTGAGAGCTGAGAGTTAAGTGGGCTGATTGGTACAAAGGAGGCAGACAAGGAGGGAGGGAGGAAGGGAGGGAGGGCTTAATATTAATGTGATGTGTTGTGATGTGTTGTGATGTGGTGGAATGTTATGTGATGTGGTGGGATGTGAAGTGATGAACTATATTCAGAGTTGTTATAAGAGATATGAAATGAAACGAAATCTAATATTTTGAAGATGATGATGGTGATGGTGATGGTGATGGTGATGAGTTGGTATTGAGAATGGTATTGTGAAATCGTTCGAGCTTAGATATATGTAGGTTGACATAAATGTAATTTGGAAAAGGCGAATACTGAGAGTGAAATGACGCTTGCACCGCCCTCCCGAAACGGCTCAGGACCTTAAAACATTCATCATGAATTGCTGATGCAACTAATTTACGGTATAGAGATACAACAGTCGTAATACAGTTTTCCTCAGCACCAGTTCGCCAAAGGATACTTCCAATATAATGCTTATTGGTATTGTCTTTATATTCGCAACGCTTTGTATTTACAATACCATCGGTTGCTGCAAGAACCTGTTTTCATGGCATCCCAAATAAATAGCGTAATAATGCAACGGACGGTGCAGCAGTGTCAGTCACTCCGCATCAGGCTTCCGTGACAGACATGTAGACATGTCACGGCCACAGAAAGATAGAACATGAACTAGAGAACCCCGAACATATCGATAGCCCCTAACATTATATATTAATGGTTAATAATTCGATTCGAGGATTTTCTTAACCATCTACCACATTTACAGCTACAGGACGCACTGTACATAATATGTGCAGATAACTACTGCAAGTTAATAGAGTAAAAGAGAGCAATGAGCAATAGATTGTCAGGAGTTTGTACTTCCAATGCCCGATTCAGACATTGCCAAATGACTAACACCTAGAGTCATCGCTCCAAACACTCTTGCTTGATAATTGTCATTTGCTCCGAGGGCCTAATAGAACTGACGAGGAGATTCATACTTCCGACAAACTCATGCAAAATAAGCAAACATTTTTAATGGATCTAATCATCCGTTGCCTCTGATGACTTATGCGAAGTTCTTTTGCTTGTCTGACCGAGCATTCATTGACTGTAGTCAAAACAATGTGTGATGTTGATTCATTAGGCAAACTTTGTGATCTCAGATATATATTGTGAAGGTAACCAGTGAAACAATACAATTGTAACATCTTATTTTTGACGGCGAAATCAAGAGTTTCTATGTAGTGCAAAGAACGATCGATACAACTAATTTTCAGTCTATCGTTCATCTACCGAGCCATAGCTTCCTAACAATCTATCCTCAAGATCATGCCTAGCCTATCTTTCAAACGAACACCACTCGAAGACTGGCAAAAGATACAAATCGCGGGTCTTGAAGGGACCGTCAAAGCTCTAAGAAATGAAGTTGCTGCTGAGAAAATGAATGTAGCGAGCCATGTCAAATCCGAAAAGGAAATAGATTCGAATTGGCGAAGACATGTAGATGGCTTATTTCGAGGATTAAGAAAGGATTGCGCAGCTTTGCAAAGGAGTATTGAAGATAAAATAATTGAATCTTGTAGGTATAATGGGTCGGGATATCAGTTTAGCGAAGGGAGAGAAGCGGATTATAGAAATGCAATAAGATCGCCTGGGTGTGATGGGGTGGGGTGTCAGACTAGCGGAAGTAATAGAAATGGGAAAAGAGATCAAGGGTTCCAGGGAGGACAGGGAGGCAAAAGAATGCAGGGAACTCAGGAGAGAGGCTGGGGAGGGCAGGAATTACAGGAAAATGAGGAAGATAATGAAGATAAGGGAAGCCAAGGAGATCAGGTAGAAGATGTAAGCCAAGGAAGCTGGGGAGATCAGGGAGGTCAAGGAAGTTGGGGAGACCAGGGAGATCAAGGCGAACAAGCAGAACAGGTAGATCAGGAAGCCGAAGGAGAGCAGGGAGGATGGAACTGATTAGTTTGACAGTCTTGATGGGATGAGGGACTTTCTCGGAAGGATGGGGAATTGAAAGTCAAGTGTTGGTAGAGAGGTCATTTGAAGATTCTAATTTGGATATCAAAAGAGATGAGATGGTCTTTTAACTTTGCGGATATCTCTATTACTTGGGAGATGTTCACTGTGTTATTCGTATTGTATAGTATATGAGTACGTACAGTGGAATTTCCCTGTGGGATATAATTAATTGATTGATTGATTGGGAAACTGGGAGATTTCTGTTGCATATCTCAAAATCATATATTCTTTTACAGAACATTTGTCTGGAGTCAATTGCGATTTAGCACTTTTAAGACATGCAACAAAACTTCTTGGGTCTTGTTCTATTGGTTGATTAGAAATCTCAAGGGGATGGAGGAGAGAAAAGAGATAGGAGAGAAAGCTAGGTTGAAGACTTTTCCAACATTTTAGCAAATCAATCAATCAACCAATTATGAAAGCTGAAGTGGCATGAACGACCAACTACCATTTTCTGTTCCCATAATAGTTATTCAACCTAGATTCCTGAACATGAACATGAACATGAAGTCAAATGATTTAGCAACAGATTCATAAGTTATCGAATTAACTCAATTAACTCCTTATACATGAATTAATAAAAGTCTCTGCACAGATTGGTGTTACTTCAACTGGTAGATGAAGCACAATGTTGGTTGATGTACTCAGTAACTTCATACAAACTGGAATATTAAGTAGCAACCTTATTAGCCGAGATCATCAAGTAAATATAAAAACACCCCGATATTCTTAATGAAGAGTAGAGTTACTCACTCAGATAATATATGAATAACAAAAGCAGATATCAGAGACCAAGCAATGCAGGATATACTATAGCAATGACAAAGCTTTTTTCACCAATAGTGGCTCCTCTAGATATTTTCTCTGAAAAGAGGTAGACCACGCGGAAGCAGGTAGGTAGGTAACAATCGAGCTCCAGAAAGATATCATCTCTCTCTGCCAATCAAGCGGACGAAAACTGGCGAGATTACTAAATGTCAGACTCATATCGCTAGTGATATCGAAGAATACATCGAGTTTTTGGAGAGAAGCAGTGAGTAGTAAGGGAGATGCTAAGCAGGCGATGGAATATTGTCTTGCATGGTGTGGATATGAGCAGAGGGCGGGCAAGGGCAAAATAACGGAAAGATATGCTTGAATTTTTCATGATGGAAATTCAGTCGATGAAAGCTGTTGTTGGTAAATTGTAAGATGAGGATATGACTCGAAGGGTGCATGAGAAGATTAAACGTGGCTTTCGGAAGTTCTAGGTTAAGGATAGGAATCAAGAGGAGAGAGTAGTTGAAAGGGAAGGGTCAATAAGACAAAGGTTTCTTAATTATTACATTAAAAAACTATGACCTAGTACGCTCGTCATGTCATAGTTGAGATGAATCAATTCGCTCATTATTCAATGTGAGATTTGTAGTTTGTGGCGATATTGTGAAACCAAAGATAGAAATGAAGTATGACTGGTATGAATTTGACATGCAAAACTTATAGCATGACATCCTAATCCATGTGAGCTCATGTTCGCTGTCACTGTTCCAGTTGATAACTATGAGTGGATTGCATTTGTTTTTTGGCAGTACCTCTCTGATGAAGATCAATATATAAAAGACAGATAGTGGTCGTGCTAAAAACAACATGATATAATTCAATCATCACGACAATAAGAACAAAACACAAGAAAAAAAAATCATTACGATACACCCAATGGCCGGCGTAACAATATCCAACCCTGGATGGTGGGAAAAAAGAGAGTGCTGCGATGGCACGAAGTTTTACTACAACGTCGCAACACATCAAAGAACAAAACTAAACCCTAGCCGCGGTCCATTACCCCCAGGTTGGAGCGAGTACATTGTCGATGGAGAAATTCAAGCCCTTCAACAACGCACTGGAATTATTGCAAAGGCAGATCCACGATGCTATGAGCCAGATCACGAAAAGAGGGTTGCAGCAACAATCCACGACTGGACTACACACCGGGCGAGTCCTCTGTATAGCATGCCCACTCCTCACAGCGTCCTCCGAATCATCTGGAGAGATGTGGAAATGCATCTGCCGACATTCCGTAGAGATATAGAGAAGTACGAGCATATGGGCACGAAGGCCACCTCTAATCATAAGCTCATTGGGAGTTTGGAGGATAACCTCCAAGCCATTGAGACATGGCGTGCTATGGCCGAAGAACAAGTGGAAAAGTTAGAGAAGGATGCCATTGCTGCGGGAAGGAACATCAGTGTGGAGGGGCTGCGAAGAAAATTTGACGCATTTCGAAACGCTGTTGATGCTGCAGTAAAGGAAATGCATGAGGGATGGTTGAAAATAGAACACAATATGTATTTGTTAGAGTCATTAGAAGCGTTCTTCGGTTCACTGAGGAGCACAACATGGGGGTAGAATCGAGGTGGTAGAATCGAGGTAGTAGTACTTCCTTCGCGGTGAATTTAATTAGTCTAGAAAATCTTACTTAGAACTCTCTTCACATGGTCTGGCTGGCTCTGTGTTTTGTTTTTCAATGCCGGAGCGTTTTGCTTGAAGCGCATTGGCCGATCAGCATTTGTCTTCTGCTTCTTCGTCTCCGTGGATCCATCCTTCGTGGTATCGACATCGACACCTTCATCCTTTCTTCTCTTCGCAGATCTCTTGGCTTCCATTCCCTCCTGGATCTTGGCCCGTTCGACGTTTGATACGAACTCCTTATTCTCCTTCGTCGTCTTGCTAATCTCGGCTCTCATCCTGCTTGTTCTTTCTGCATTTTCTGCCGCAATTTGCTCCGTCAAATTATTCCATTTGAAGCCCTTCAGGTAAAGAAGATTCCATACATCGTCGTGATAGTAATTTCCCTTTTTGCCTCCAATAGTTTTCGCATTCAGCAGTTCGCACACCTTCTTAGCATCCGTTTTGTGCATAAATTCAACCCATCCATCCACAAAAGATCGCTTCTTGTTTCCTCCATTGCGTACTCGTCTCGTGTGCGAAGCGGGATCTTCAGGTGTGAGGAATATGCGATTGATGTCACCGAATGGTTCAAGAAGGGATCTTAATTTTGTCGGTTTCATGAAAGGTGGTATTCGGGATAGGTAGACGACGCCAGATTTCTTGATGGCAGCAGCGCTCGCGACAAGATTTTTCTTCGTCAATGGTCTCGAAACTCCTGGTAAATCCAATTCTTTTGAAATCTTCTTCGACTTTGATTTGATATCTTTTGAGGTCTCTTGAACTACATCGTCTTCAGAGTTCTGTTCTTCTTGATCGCTATTCTGTTCGGCATCTTCATCATCACTCTTATCGTCGTCCTTGACCTTTCTTCTCTTTAAACTTCTGCCACCCTTTCTCAAATCCTCTGCCTCTGAATTATATCCTTGACTCTCATTTCCATCACTCTCTTCCAAATCCAGAAAATCGTTATGCTTTCTTGTCGACATTTTGATTGATTTGATGAATTGTAAGAAATTCGTTTTGTAAGACTTTATAAATTTTGACTGGGATCATTTTAACCTTTAGCGCTTATAAACCCCTGTTTTTTATATACTGTAATAAGTTTGATGCATTGCGATAGCGGCGGACGTGACTGATAGCTTGACACTTTCATGCCACCAGAGAGTTAGAGTACACATAAACAATCAACAATCAACAATCAATAAATAAGGATTACATAAAATGTCTGTCGAAACTATTACTACCATTTCTCCCATCACCAACAAACCCGTCTTAACCAGGAATGGTATCTCTGCGGCAGATCTGCGACAGTTGCCCATTACTGCCACGGAAGCATTCTTGAAGTTTAAGAAGACTTCTTTGAAAGAACGACAAGATATTGTAAAGAAGGCTCTCAAACTATTGAATGACAAGCAAGATGAATTGGCAAAGGAGTTAACAGAACAGATGGGCCGACCGATTGCCTATACTGCGAAAGAAGTTACCACAGCCGTGAAGAGGGGTGAATACCTTGTAAAGATTAGTGAGGATGCATTAAAGGACACAGATGGAGAGGCAGAGAAAGGATTCAAGAGATTCATTAGAAAGGTGCCTGTTGGGCCATGTCTCATTCTTTTCGCATGGAATGTAAGTATTTTCTTTCCGGGTTGTATCTCTCTAGCTAACATTACGTTTTCTAGTACCCTTATCTTATTCTCGTGAACTCCCTGATACCTGCTCTTCTCGCTGGTAACTCGGTCATCTTAAAGCCATCTCCGCAGACGCCCACTATCGTTGAACATATGGCATCTATCTTTTCTGAAGCCGGCCTTCCAGATAACGTCATCCAATACTTCCACTGCGGCTCGCCCCTTATTATCGAATCTATTGTTAGAGACCCGAAAGTCTCTCTCGTGTGCTTCACTGGCTCTGTAGCTGGTGGACTGGCTACCGCGAAGGCTGCGTCAGACAGAATTGTGAATGTTGGACTCGAGCTTGGTGGTAAGGATCCCGCATACGTAAGAGGAGATGTCGATGTAGCGTGGGCAGCCGAGGAAATCGTCGATGGAGCCGTTTTCAACTCGGGTCAAAGTTGTTGCAGTCTGGAAAGAGTCTATGTCGATGAGAAGATCCATGATAAATTTATTGAGGCGTTGCAGAACGTCTTGAAGAACTATAGATTGGGTGATCCTTTCAATAAGGAGACGGCAAGTACCTCACACCCGAAATTTGCTGGCTCAATACTTACTACTTGCTTATGCAGCATGTTGGCCCAGTTGTCTCAAAAAGGTCAAAGGAAACGATCGAGGCACACATTAAGGATGCTCTAAACAAAGGTGCCAAGGATCTCACTCCCAAGAATGAGACTTTTGAGGCTCCTCCGCCAGAAGGCAACTACGTTAAGCCAACATTGCTTGGTAATGTTGATCATAGCATGACTGTAATGACCGAGGAGACTTTTGGTCCTGTCATCCCCGTGATGAAAGTAAAGAGTGATGAAGAAGCCATAAAACTCATGAATGACAGTGAGTTTGGGTTGACAGCCTCAATATGGACGAAAGACACGGCAAAAGCAGCCGAATTAGCTGAAGATGTCGAGGCTGGAACAGTCTTTGTGAATAGATGTGATTACCCAAGCCCCGTAAGTCACTTTGCCCCTAGATGTACTCGAGTACATGGAATATAGCTCACAATTATTGATAGGACCTTGCATGGACTGGATGGAAAAATTCCGGAAGGGGCGTCACTTTGAGTAAATTTGGCTTCGAACAATTCGTCAAGCTGAAGAGCTACCACTTGAAGGATTATCCTAAATGAGGACTTTAAGTATTACTTCTACACTTGTGTGCTTTGTGGTACAAAGTCTCGAACGACTTTTGAGCCTTTTTACACCATCAATTAGAGCCACAAAATCGATAAGCTCAGCGAAAAAACGAGCATTTGAGTAGAAATAAGCGACGGAAGGATTCATATAGACGAATGACGAATATATCTTATCTTTTTCGCCGTGCTGAAACTGTTTTGGTCTTCACAAGTTCTACTTGAGTACGCATATCGAGATGTCAGTCTGTCTGTCACTGATGGGCTCTGGCGCTTCGACGCCATTTGTAACTAACACAGATGTCATATTTAGCCAAGCAATATACACATTTATTAGTGATACTAGTAATACACTCTCGAAGAATTCTTCTTTGTGTTCAAGTATGAAGTTAACCTAGGTAGTTAATGTTGATCCATTCTCCAAGGTAACGTAAGGGGGGCATTTTAATTGGATAAGCGAAGTAAGAAACAAGCCTTGCTGCTAATTGATTGAAGGGAAATTCACGAAAATTGAATCACATGATTAACCCTTCCTTTCCTATCTTCCTATTCCTGTCGTGCTTCATCAATTTTCCACGCTTTTCCCTTATTCCGGTATCTTCTTTCGGGCGACATCCCGCGTTCTCCTTGATTTGAATGTGTACATACATATTATTTATTGATGGTAATTTATTCAGGTAATAATTCAAGGTTATAATTCAGGTAATATATTCATTTACTCCTAAGTTCATCTACTATTATTATATTAGTATATATCTACTCGAGTAGAGTATTAGAGTATTACTAACTTGACTATCTAGACATCAAATGTATTAGTCGTTCAGCTCATCAACCCCTTTGGGCCCTTTGGTAGAAAAGAAGCGATAATTTCACAGAACCTCACATTCATCATTCATGGCCATCAACATTCCAGAAGGGCCTCATCCATCTGATAAGGGAGCAATTAAATCATTTCCCTCAAATTTCAGAGTAAGGAATCCGCCGCGTTACGTCGCCGGATTGCCGTTACTTGAGGCGTACCAAAGAATGGGAATTTTGATGCACCCGAAGTGGTACTCATTGTAGTACTGACTCTGTGTAATTTCTCATTTGATAGTGTCGTTGCCCTTGACAGCAAACTGGCAATTATCTCCAAAAAGAAAAAGATTTCCTCTCTTCATCCTCTTATATATATATATACCTTGTTCAATTATCGTCAATTCTTATTTCGAGTCATTGACAGACAGCTCTTCAGCAATTCTTCTTTCTTTTCTTTACCAATTAGCAATATACATCACAAATTATTCATTCATTTTTTAAGTCCTTAATTACAGTCAATCATTCCTCATCACGCGTCTTTCAATATTCTGCATATTCATCGTTTCAAAAAGCGCGTCTGCCTTCCATACTCGTTCTTAATCTACAAAATATATTCACGAGGACTTTCATCTACCAACATAACAACTGTTTATCGTTGAACATCACCAGATATATACTTGTATACGCACATACTTTCATCTCAAATCTCAACTCAATCACTTGTCAACATGACCTGCATACAACTCAAAGCATCATTTCTAAAATACAGCAACAAATGTGCTGAAACCTTCCGATTGAAACCAAAAGCACCTAAACCTATATCCATAGTAAGCATCATTTACACCTCCTCCAATTCTAAGATACGATCTCACTAACATGACATCTATAGAGTGCACCCTTCAATTTTCAAGAAGGCCCATCAGTAAATCTCCCCGGATATTCCGAAGATGAGTAAGTCGGCCTTCCCATCTCTCATATCCATTCATGCCTACCTAGATACTAATAGTATTAAATACAGAATTTCACTCATGAAAGAAAAAGCCATTGCATCGACAGCTGTCGTCTCTGATAATCATTATGCGAATCTAAATCGATGTTACGATTCAGATATATCCGAATCACATTCTAAGACGGGTTCTCATGGTTGTGGAATTGGAATTGGAAGGAGTGTGGTTTATCATGCTAGGAGGGCTAGTAGAGGGTGTATTTATGGTCATTGATGTGTGAGATGGGAATTGAGGGGGTGGTGGGGGGGAAGTGGGGGCAGGGCTGGGATATTGCTCGCATGAGTAGGGAGCTGGTGTACGATATGGTATTGGATAGATGGGCTGGCTATGGTTGCTACTTTGGGGTTATATGGTTAGGTGGGTGGGAGGCTATTGTATTATTGTTATATCATTGGTACTATTTGGGATGGGATTGTTGGCGGTACAACCGGGGTGGTGGGTGGTGGGTGAGGGGTTATTGGTTTGGCTATATATTAATATAATTGATATCGGAATCGGGATTAGACGGTAATGGGTAGGAATAACATGGCCATATAGTGGCCCAACACAAATTGTTATGTAGAAGGAGAGATAAAAGCGATAATTCAATCTTTTAACCCATATAATCTTGAGAAAGTCTTTCAAGAAGTCAATCATTTCAAAGTTACATGAATAAATGCAGTCATCACAAAATCATTATCAATGTCAATGTCAATTTAACAAGGTATATTTTTCTCATTTTTGTATTAGAGAATTACCTAGGAAATCTTTTTTTATAATTTCAAAGCCTTTCTACAGACAGAAATAGGTATATTTAAATCCTGAACGCACCAAAGTACTTTCCTCAACTCTAGCTTGAAATTTAAGCAGAGAGTATCATCAAAAGCCGAAAAGATACGTTGCTGCAGCAGAGCAGCTGCCAAATTCCTCCATGTCATATCATATCGAATCAAATCAAATCAAACCAAACCAAAGCATCCTGCCTATCAATCTCACGCCTGCCTGTTTGTAAAATTATAACTAATGCATCAAAGCACTTACTTTCCATTTCTCAACACCGGCAAACAAGGGTATCATCATCAAAAAGTCCGAAAACACCTAATAATTATAGCGCCCGCTAGCTCAAAGAAATGCAGATCGAAGGATTCTTAGAAAGTGGCTCGCTCAGGCATTATACAAATCATCGTCATCAGGCTCCCAGCTCCCATCTGCATCAGCAGCATCAGCATTTTCTGCAGAAAAGCTCTTCTTATGTTTGAGAGAGGAGTTTCGGGTCATGATGGGTTTAGCGGTCGTATTGGTAGTTGTGGGGGTAGAAACTTTAGAAGTTCTGGCGTTGGGAGTGGCGGTCTTGAGAGTTGCAGTTTTGGGATTTTTAACCAGAGGAGTTGCAGCCCTAGTGGTGGTAGCAGCTCTAGTGGTAACAGCTTTAGGAATGACAACTTGCGGCTTCTTGTTAGCTCTAGCTCTAGCTCTAGATTTAGCAGGAGTCTTATTAGGCGCAGCACTTTTAGGAGTGATTCCCTTCTTGTTGACTTTTTGTTTCTGTCCGGGCTCCCAGTCTTCATCTTCACTTTCTCGCGAAATCGATACCGAATTGCCTTTCTTGGTAGGTGTTGTAGTGGATACGTAGGTGGCTTCGGTGGCTTCAGTGGTATATATATGTTGATTGGTTTGACCTCGAGATGGAACTTTGTTGATGGTGGTGGGCTTGGCGTTGGATTTGGATAGGACGTCGTTGTGATTTGTAGTAAGGTCGATATAGGAAGGTGTGGATCTTGTGGCATGTCCACGACTGTAGTTTGAAGGGGTGACAGTGCGGGGTAAAGTTGGGTCGATATAGCAAGGTGTGGCTCTTGCGGCAAGTGCAAATCCGTCACTATATATCGAAGGAGCTGCAGCATCGCTCATGTCACTTCTTTCTTCACCTCCTCCCATACTAAAAGTATCTCTTGAAGTCGATCCAGTATTGTATCCTGAAGGACCTGCTGCACTGCTCATGCCACTTCCTTCACTGGTTCCAGAATTGTATCCAGAAGGACCAGGAGAATCGCTTGCAGTATTTCCTTCACCAACCTCTCCCGTACCGGCTGTATTCAATTGACCACTTCCACTCATTCCACCCATCTCAATATCTTCATTATCAGCTTTATCTTGACTTTCTTCTTGAATAAGCCAACTATAATCCTCGGTAAGGCTATCCGCAACGTCTTGATGCTTTGGAGGAGGCTTTGGACCACGTCCTACTGGACCTTTTCGATACCAATTCGTCATGGCACCGGGAGTTGGTGGTAGAGATACTGTTGCTTCTGATTTGAAATTGGAGTTTAGGTAATTGGCGCGATATGTATCATCGTAGTCTTTGAGAGCTAAGTCAATTTCTTGACCATCGTATTTGGCGACCTGTTTGGTGGACGTTAGTTGGTATTTTGATATGGAGTATAAAATGTATTTATAAGAATCATATCAAGGGATGAAAGACTTACATCATCATCGTCAAAATCGCGGAAGCCTCGATGTGTCCATTGTGGTATACTTGCACCTTCTCCAGCTCTAAATACACAAATAAGTCAGTCTCAGATATTGTGATTCGACATTCAAGAAACCAAAATACCTCATAGCAGCCTCGAAGCTCTGTTCTCTAGCAGTAAAGAACTTCTTTTCACTCTCGCCCATTGAAATATCATCAAAAGGTTCTTCCGCCGTTCTCTTTTCTTCCAGATGTAATTTCTGAACGGCAAAATCAGCATCAGACAACGCAGGACCTAAAATCGGACCGGTAAGTTCGAAGTCTGTTAGATCAATATTGTAGCCAATGCTATCCAATTCATTTTCAGAAATAGGCGGATTCTCAACACTTTCAAAGTCAGGCCAAGGGATCGCGTCATCGTCAAAGTTATCTCCAGTCATATTGGCAAGATCGACATCGGGCATCGCGTCTCGGAATTTCTGCGTCTTCTTGATGTCGAGATAGAGCTCTGAAGGCATAGTAATGGCGAAGGGAGTTCTGTCTCGAAGCTTGATGATCGCTGCAGCAAATTGTGGGTATGGACCAAAAGTTGTTGAAAGGGCTGGGCAAGGCCAGCGTTGGAAGCGCTCTGGTCCAGCACACACTGGTTCGCTGTTGTCGGACATTTCGAGAGCTGTGGATATTCTGAGTAAGAAGGTGTGGTGTGTGTGATAGGTAATTGTATTTAAGGAAACTTACCAGGATCGATGGCCCAATATTCTGGTACAGCTACTGTATTGTAAAGAAGAAAAGTCAGTTTTGAAAAAATAATGATCGGGATATTAAGTGATAGAAAGGCGGTGAATTAAACTTGATTTGTGAGTGGTGAATAGAGGATTCTCGGATGACAGGATAGTAAAGTGAAGTGATTTTGGTAATAATGAAGAGGATTCATCGAAGAGAGTTCAGCCGATAACAGAAGAAAAGTAGATTCTAAGGAGAGTAAATGCATGTTGTTCTTGTATATAGATTCAAGGACAATATGAAATAGAAGGTTTCAAAAACAACAGATATAAATCATCTTCGAAGACAGATTTGATGATAACAAGAAATAGAGTGGTTTGAAAATAACAAATATAAACTACTCTCGAAGAAAGATTCGAGGATAATGAAAAGGAAGTGGTTTGAAAATAATGGATAGAGATTGTCCCCAAACATGGCTCAGCAGACATAATGGAAAAAACTAGCTTCAAGAATTGCAGATGCAGATTCTCACTCTGATTATCTAGTCGACAACATGAGGTGAAGCTATCTTGAGATCAAGAAACACAGATTGTTCCCAAAGAAAGATTCGAGGATAGTAACAGATGATCTCGTTCTGAGAAAGACAACATGGGGTGAAGCTATTTTGAGATTAAGAAACACAGATTGTTCTCAAATGAAGATTCGAGGATAGCAACAAATGATCTAGTTCTAAGAACAACAACCTCAGACTGTCCTCGAATCCAAAATTGAACATAATAAGACAGTCCACTGCCTTTAATTGAACAACGAAAATAATCCCAGTTCAGCAGATAATAAACCATTCCAAGTCATACAGAAAACGACATGAAACAAAAAAAAACAGTAAAAAAACAACAAAAACTCACCACCAGAAGCTCCAACACCTCCATCCCATCCCGTTTCTTCTCCCTCCATCTCTGATGATTGTTCTTGTTCTTCGTCTATGATTGACTAGACAAGAAGAATTGAATTAGTATTGTCATTATTATATTAACGTTTATCTAAAGAAAAAGTGGATAAGGTGAGAGTAGTTGAACAAGGACTAAGATCCCTGTGCTCGAACCGAGCCAATCGGATCCATTACACCTCGCTACAACCACCAGACTTGCTACCACAACAAAAACTTTATTTTGACAACCAACTGCCAATAATTGAAGTCGCAGATGACTATCATAATAATGCGAAAGAAAGAAAAAAGGTTAGAGAAGAAAGGAAAAGAAAATAACGTACTGGGCCGACAAATGCCAACATGGCCTCCATTTGAGACCTCGACATGTTGCTTGAGGAAGAAAAAAGAAAGAGAAAAGGAGGAGAAGAGATTTGGAAATAAGTCAACAACTTACAAGATAATTGAATTTTCTACGTAAGTCATATGATATATTTTTCTTTCCCTCAAATCCAACTGATTCACTGGTTTTTAATCTTAGGCAAGGCAAGGCATGACACGACACGGTATAGAAGCTTGCATGGTACTCATATAAGATTAATCTCCTATTTCGGAGCTGGCGGTTGGGAGAGATGATATGCATTAAGATAGGTGTGAGAGTCTCTATAATACTACAAAGATGAAAAAAAAAGCTTTACCCATGTCCCTTGCGCCTCTTCAAGTTCCTACACGCCGTTATTTGCTAGTCTATTTCTACTCGCACACTTCAACAAGGCTATGGCTTATGATCTATGATCGGAGATTCAGAAAGAGAGAAGATAAACTTCAGTAGGTAAATAATAAACCAATCAGAATGTTGAATATAGATAATGTGATGTGTTTTTCTTCGAGTGTCAATGTGACTAACTGATCTATTGTCTGGCTCTATTTTGACCGAAGAATTAGATGAGCGGCTCGGAGATGGTGTCGAGTCGAAATTGTAGCAAAAATCACCCTATAAGAACAGACGCATCTCTTGCATCGCGCCATGCCATTATTTTACTATTTGTATATCTACTACTACTCATATACTCTAGTAAGGCTACTTTACAGAAGTTAATAGGTGGAGATCCAAGAGAACTAAGAAAGATATGTTAATTGTGTTAATGATTGCTAATGATACTTTTAAACGCGGTGATATGTTCCGGGCCATAGCTCAATATCCCCATTGTGAAATGCACTTAGCTCATTGCTAAATGAGCTAGGTTTCGGAGTGAGCTAGCTCATACGATTCATAAGGGCATTCCGAAATCAACTTAGTATATAAAAAATGATTTATACAATAAACTAAGGATATTGTACAACATACTAGCTCATTCTACAATGAGCTAATATATATATTATAATATCACTTCATCAATATTTACTCTTACAAATAAGCAAAAAATCATTATCAACTTTATCATCGTTCCCATTCTCAACTATATTATCATTTTCATTATTATTAGCTATTCCAATACCCTTTTCCTTTACTAAGAATATCTTTTCGATATACAAAGTGAAGAAAATGAAAATATGAAAGGAATTTATATATATATGGCGGGGTGGACCTTTAGGGTATTTGCGAATAAGCTTAGCTCATTTCGAAATGTACGTAGGGCATTTCACAATGGGGATATTGAGCTATGGCCCGGAACAGACAGATATTATATGACTTATATCCCATTTGCAATGGAATCAAAATCCATTCACTAGCTTACCAATCTGGAAAACGCACCAGAGAGTAGACTATTGGCCTACGAAGTAGTTGAGTTCAGAGCTCACATTTAAACGGTTAAAGTGATATAGTAATAAATTAACTAAGGTGAAGGTATCTGTGTTATGGGATTCTATATTCTTGTCCCATTTGGAGCTCTATACTGGTTATCTATTAGAATCTTCACAGTGTAGCAATTTGAACTAAATTGCAATTAAACTGAAGAGTAAGTCAACTACCCTACTTTCGGACCACCCCCCCTTTCGGACCACCCTTTCACACCAAAAACAGTAGTTTTTCGATATCTATAATTCTATCAATATTGAATATTATAATATAAAATTTAAATTATAGATTCTTTATATAGTTATAGACTTCATTACAGTTTTTCAGAGTTTTAGTGATTTTAAATAAAAAGTTATAAAGATTCAAAATCTAAGATTTTGATTTTATATATAAATCATATACAGAATAATAAATATTCAAAAAGTTCTAACAATTAATCAATCAAAATAATTAAAAATATATTTCAAATAAAAATTAGTAATTATTCATTTATTCAAAATATTAGATATTTTGATTAAAAATTTATATAAAAAACGATTATTACTAATACAAGTTTGAATATATAAAATAATCTAAAATAAAAAGATATTTTCATAATCTTTAAATATCAAATATTTCATTAAAATGAACAAATTATTTCTTATATATAAAATGAATTTTAAATTTTAAATTTTAATAACTTTTTATATAAAATTATTAAAATTCTGAAAATCTGTAATTGAGTTAATAACTATATAAAGAATATATTCTTAAAATTTGATTTAATTATATTTATTATTGAAAAAGTTATAAAAGTTGAAAATCACTATTTTTGATATAAAAAGTAATTCGAAAAGAAAAATAATTTAAAAGTAAAGTAGTAGATTTAATTTATAAATCAAAGAAGTTCTCGTTTTTAAATTTTAAATTTTTAAATAAATATTATTAATAATTTTAAAAAGATCTAAATATATTTGTTGAAATATAATAAATCTCTTAGATCACTTTAAAAGTTTAAGCTAAATAAATTATTTAATTATAATAAAATCTATATTATATAAATATTTATTAATAGTAGTATAATATATAAAAAATAATATTATATGATTTTATCATTTCTGAAAGCATATGGCCGAATGCGGAATATGAAAACATATAACTGAAAACGGAATTTAGCTGAATTCGGAAAATGAAAGCATTTAGCTAAATGCGATATATAAAAGAATATAAATTGAATACAGGATACGAAAATATTTAGCTATACAAATATATAGAGTTGGAAAAAGCATAAAAGAAAGCTATAAGCTCTAGATTATTTCATTTTAAGAAAAATCACTTTCAATATCTCTTATTATTACATACTATAATACAATATTACTATTATTATATTATATACTATTATCTATTCCCCTTATACTAATTATTATTCGATTACCCCTATATCACGGGGCTGGTACGGGTTCTGGTGGGTACTAGGTATGATGTATGATATTCGATAAGGAA